TCACCTCAGCCTCCCAAAGGCGCGGGATTACAGGCTGAGCCACCGAGCCCGGCGGTCTTGACTATTCTTGATTGTTTATGTTTCTATATGAAATGGTGCTGGAAAAACTGGCTGACCACATGTAAATATTGAAACAAGACTCCTACCTATCACCATACACAAAAATCAACTCTAAATGAATCAAAGACCTAAATGTAAAACTTCGAACTATAAGAATATTAGAAAACCCAAGAAACGCCCTTATATAAATTGGAGTAGGTAACCAATTCCTGATCAAAACCCCAGATGTTTATGCTATAAGAAATAAGACAGACAAGTGGGACCTCATTAAACTGAAAAGCTTCCGCAAAGTAATTGAAACCATCAAGACAGTGGGGAGACAGCCCACAAAATGGGAAAAAATATTTGTCAACTGTTTATCTGGTAAAGGTCTAACATCCAGGATCTACAAGGAACTCGAATGTGCCAAAAGGAAAAAAACCCAAACAGCCTCATTAAAAAATGGGCAAAAGGCATGAGTAGACACTTCTCAAAAGAAGATATATGGGCAGCCAACAGACACATGAAAAAGTGCGCACTCTCACTCATTGTCTGAGAAATGCAAATCAAAACCACATTGAAATACCACTTAACTCCAGTAAGAGTAGCCATCATTAATAAATCAAACAATAACAGATGCTGGCGAGGATGTGGAGAAAAGGGAATGCTTCTACACTGTTGGTGGGAATGTAAGCTAGTTCAACCTCATGGAAAACAGTGTGGCGATTTCTAAAAGAACTAGAAATTGACCTTCCATAAGACCCAGCAATTCCCCTACTGGGAATATATCCAGAGGAATGAAAATCATTCTACAAAAAAGATACCTGTACACACATGTTTATTGCAGCACTATTGACAGTAGCAAAAAATGGAACCAAACATGTTGGCCATCGAAACTGGACTATATTAAAAATATGTGGTACATATACATGATGGAATATTATGCAGCCATAAAGAAGGACAAACATGGGTTTCACAGCAACTTGAATGGATTTAGAGTCTATCATACTCAGTGATCTATCACAGAAACCAAGAACAGAGTACCACATGTTCTCACTCATAAGTGGACCCTGAACATTTACCATAATACTCTAAGAAAGGGATTGGCCATGGTGTTGGGAATGGTGTTGGGGGTGGGGGATACACAATATCAATAAGGGTAACTGATCTCAAACCAGGCAAAGTGGGGACTAAAGGAAGGCCCAAACTTTCCAGTATGAATTGTATCCCACATCTTAAAAAAAGATTCTTATTTATTTGAGAATTTGTGTGATGTATTTCTCTTAGATAGGTGAGAGCCTGTGTCTGTTTCTGGCATGGTGTGTTTTATCAGCTAGGGCAGCTGTGCAGACTTCACATTTCTCAGACCCCTGGAAGTCCAGTCTTGCACTTTGTGCTCAGGTGCAGGAATTTCTCTTGTAGTTTTCTTAAGGCTCAGCTTTACGAATCATCAGAGAAATGCAAATGAAAACCCACGCTGAGATACCACCTTACCTCAGTGAGGATGGCCATCATTAATGAATCAAAAAACAACAGATGCTGGCATGGGTGCAGAGAAAAGGGGATGCTTCTACAGTGTTGGTGATATCTAAAGGAACTAGAAATTGGCCTCTCATATGATTCAGCAATTCCCCTCCTGGAAATATACCCAGAGAAACACAAATCATTCTATAAAAAAGACATCTCCACATGTGTGTTTGTTGCCACACTATTCACAATAGCAAGTGCATGGAACCAACACTTATGCCTATCAAAATTGACTGGATAAAGAAAATGTAGTACATATACACGATGGAATATTATGCTGTCATAAAGAAGGACAAAATCATGGACGTCTCAACAAATTGGATGGAACTGGAGACAATCATCCTTAGCGATCTATCACATAAAGAACCAAACACCACATATTCTCGTTCATAAGTGGAACCTGAACATTAATCACAAAAACACAAGAGAGGAATTGGCAGTTGTGGGACACTGACAGGGGAGGGAGGAAGGAGGGGGCATATAACAACACAAAGACTACCTGATCATAAACCAGGGGAAGTGAGAGCCAGTTGAGGTCCAAAGTTCACTTGCATATACATTACTTATGTACCTAATCCTGACTTGTACCCCACATATTTATAATAAAATAAAGTAAAACAAAACAAACAACAACAAAAACCTTTCATCAGGCTCCTATAGTCTAGAACACTAGCTCCCTGACCTGGATTACGATTTTGCTAGGGCCAGGACCTGGTCAACTAGAGACCACCCTGATAGCCCAGAGCCTGCCAAAATTATTCCAGCTAACCAGTCCTAAACCTGTTCAGCTATTTAACCTGTCTCTCAATCCTCCCATGAAAACCATAATACAGGTGGTTTTCTATACTTCCGCCAACTTCTTCTTCCCTTTTAACTGATCCTAGTACTTGCCCGTGTGGCCCTGGATAGCATAGTATTCTTCCTCTTTTTGGGGCCTGTGAGTCACAAACTGTCCTTTCAATAGTGAGCATCTCCTGCTATGCTGGCCTTATCATATCTGAATAGAAATGAAGTCTCAGGTATATTTAAAAACCTCTCTTCTAAAGAGACTTTTCTCACATCATCTCTGTTTTGGCATTTTGTAGGTAAAACTTGTCTTGCCTGGTATCTCAAGTGGCTCAGAACCACTATATTTCACAGCTGGAAGGAGCCTAGTCCAACACCCCTATTTTATTGGTGAATAGCATCAACCTTGGTCAAAAACCTTTCTTATTTATTTACTTTTGGTCAACAAACACTTGACTTTCTAGGCCAGGTCCAAAATCCTAGAGCAGGCTTTCTCAGCTTCAGCATGACTGGCGTTTTGGAAAGGATATGTCTTTGCTGTGGGACACTCTCCTGTGCATTGAAAGATATTCGGTAGCCTTCCTGGACATGACCAACTAGATGCCCTTCCAGTTATGAAAACTAAGTGTCTCTAGACAGGGCATAATCATACCTGGATTAGTGCCTCTGCACTAGCGCCTCACCATAAATTGCCTTCTTTTCCTTCCTTCCTCCACCAAATCAAAGTAAAAAGAATGAGTACTCATATCTTTAAAATCTGTAATAATTTAACCCTGGCCTAGCTGAATGTCCTTCGCTGGTTTATCCAGTTAAAAGTATCATGGTTAAGTATCATGGTCTCTGAAACCAGGCTGCTTGGGTTTAAACCTCAGTTCCACTGGTTCCCAGCTATGTCCTTGGACAGGCTACTCAGTCCCAGGTTCCTCATTTCAAAAATTTTGGGGACTGTTGGGAGCATTAAGTGGTTGTATATGTAGGACACTTTGAAGAAAGTCTGGCAAGAAGAATCTGCTATTCAGCTGCTACTAACATCAGTACTATTACCACTTTTATAACCCCAAGCCTTTGCTTACTGCCCTATAAAATGGAATTATCATGCCCCCTTCCCAGGGTTATTGTGAGTACTGATAAGGAAAATGGGGATGGTACCTTTTCCATAGCAGATTTTCAGTAATTGCTAGAACGCTTTCATTCTTCACTTAAGCAAATTGGTTTTGCAAAATAACCATAGAGTCAACACTTACACTCACATTTGAGGAGCTCCTAGTCCCTCCCATTTGGAGAGTTCCTTCACGCAGGTGTTGTCTCCTGAAACCTTGGGGGGGGGTGTATTTGTTTTGACTGAGTGGGCTCTACTGCTGCACACTGGATCTTCCCACCTAGACTGAAAATGACTTGGGACCAGAGACTGTGTCCTTTTTTTCTGTTAGATTTCTCCACAGAATGTGGTTCATGGTGGCCCTCGGTCAACACTGGTGGACTATAGAAATGTGTATGGTGAATAGATGAAAGAAATACACACTTGCTTATGACAACACTTCTATCTCTATCACCACCCTCCATCAGGGCCGTCTGAAGTCAACTACCCACTGGGGAGCTGTGCCTGACTGTGCAGCCTCAGTTGTCTTGGCGCTGTTAGGTTTTCTTCTCAGGCAGTTTCTCAAAGTTACAGTGTATGAAGCATGAGCATGTGTGCGTGCCTATGTGTGCATGTGTATAAACATGATGTACAAGCTGTGTGTCTTAGAGTAATATTTAGCAAGATCCATTTTCCTTTTCACTGTTCCCCAGGAGAAGAAGGTATATTTTTCTATTCTTTCCACCTTGCCTAGATCAGAAATGGAACACAACAGGCATTTAAGAACTACTAGAATGAATGAAAAAAGGATCCCTGAATGCAAATGATAACATTTTGAGTGGTGGGCTATATCTAACCCAAGTATATGTATATTTTTTTACTTTCTGTGGTTTTCCTTACTAATTTGATATTTGAAAATTCCCTTACAGTTTTACAGATTTTTTGTTTTTACACAGCCTTGGTTTTTACCATTTAAGACAGATAACTTTTGGAGAAGGGCAGTGTTAATCAATACCATGATGTCATTATGTGCTTTGTTGGAGACTGTGTGCATGGTAGTAAAACAATAAATTATTTTGTCTCATTATTTGGGGGAAAAAAAGCAAACTTTTAGGTCAAGAGATTGTAAATCTTGGAAAGTTTGATGGAAAAGAAGTTGTGGAACTGCCTTTCCACGACTTTCCATGACAAGCACCACTATGGGGCCATGTGCACGGGAGGATGCTTTAACTTAATCTCCCCATCTCCCATACCTTCCATCACAGACTCACCTCGCTCTGTCCTGGTCCACAGTTTCCATCAGGAGTCTTGGTCTCTTGTTGACATTTCTCCTTCCTTGTCCTTCCTGGGCTCTAGGTGGTGACTCAGAATCTGAGGTGGATCCCTTTGGGAGTCCACAAGGAGGGCTGTGAAAGCTGAGGCAAGAGATGTGTCTCCTTTTACATAGGGCACCTCTGAAAGTCTCCTGTTTCTCCCCTAGAGACCCTTCTTTCTACGGTATACTTTATTGTCCCTTACGGCTATCAGGGTGAGCTGCTGTCCATTCTTAGTGCTCTTTGCAACTTCAGAATGTTGTGACTGCAAAACTTCTGCAACTGAATTTGCTTCACATTCTTACCTGCAGAGACAAAGACTACACAGCCTTGTGTAGTGCTTATGATTTAGCTGTGCTACTGAGGTTCACAGGACATGCATTCTGGGGAATGTCAATTGCTTTGCCCCAAACCTTCAAACCACAGATGAGGCAATGGCATTTAGAGCAAAGGTCTCCAGATATGCCTGCAAGTTGAAATGATCTGGGGAGTATCAAGAAATACTAATGCCTGTACCTCGCTCCCAGAAGTGGAGATTTAATTGGTCTGGGAGATAGCCTCGTCTTTGGAAGGTTCAGAAAATTTTTAGGTCATTCTAATCTGCAGAAAAGTCTGAGAACCACTGAATTAAAGATTTCACAGGCAGAGAAATGATGACATACCAACTGCTGGCACTCCAGGCCTTCTTAGGCCAAGGGGTAGTCTTTGGATCAGCAACATCAGCCACTCATTCAAAGTGCAGATTCTTAGACTCCCTCTCAGACCTATCAAATCAGAGACTCTGGGTGATGCTCAGAAGTCTGTTTTAACAAACCCTCTAGGTGATTTAATGTTCTAACCATGGGTGATTTTACTAAGCAGGGGACATTTGTCAGTGTCTGGAGACATGTTTAGTTTTCACAACAAGGAGTTGGAGGTGATAATGGCACCAAGTAGGAAGAGGCTAGAGATGCTGCTTAATACTCTGATGCACAAAACAGGCCCTCACAACAGTCCAGAATGTTCATAGTGCAAGGCTGAGTAAGTCTACTCTTGACCTTCTTGCTTCCTGTGGTAGATTTGGTCTTCCCAAAGAGATGGCAGAATGATGGGTTCAAACTCAAGGTGGTTTAACACCATTTCAACTGCTCTCCAAAATTTTACATCTCCAAAATTGGTGGTTGACTGATCACTAAGTAATAGTCTAATTAAAATAATTATTTAAACCGATTCCAGTTAATATATCTACTTCAACCCCATGCCACATAATTTATAGACACTGCTCAAATAAAACTCAGATGAAAACATTTAAAGAGACTGCATATATACCAACAAGAAAAAAAATAAAAGGTAGCAGGGGACTAACCACACTCTTAGATTTTTTTCTCTCCGGCCCCAACTAAGCATGTGAACAAAGGTCCTAGGGTTAATGAATATAAAGTGAGATGGATTTACTAGGTCAAGGACATGCTGGCAGAGAGAGTTCTTTGTCTCTGAAATTTTTAAGCCAGTTGAGGATTATTGTGGCTCTTTATCCTTTAGGATTATTACAAATGAGGGTGGGATAGTTCTTACTTGTGCAGCTGTTATCTGAGTCTCTTTAGCTATAGAGGATGAATTTTCCAAAGCAGAGAGTCAATAATTCTCTCCCTGCTGGCTTGTAGGTGTTTTCCAGGTTTTCTGGGTAGGCAATTAAGTGACTTCACGAAGAAGATACAATCTAGATTTTAACAAATTCTAAATAAGAACCAGAATCAAGGTCTGAGATAAAGCTTGTGGTTTCTGGGGAAGCGGGAATAAATCTAAAAATCACACAGTTGCTTCCTCAGCTGTAATACAATGTCTTCAGGGGCTCCAGTGCCCCTAGGCTATTGTTCTAAACCATTATATACACAAAGTACTAGCATGTGGGACCAGCTTGGGTATAGACAGATCAACACAGCATCTTGGTATCTAGGGAAAACTGTTTGCCAGTTGGCAATTAAGGACATGGAGGGCCTTTCTTTCCTCCCTTTCTACTTCCCTCCCTCCTTTCCCTCCTCCCTCCTTCGCTCCTTGCTTCCCTTCTTCCATTCTTTTATAATATCTACTATGTTGGTTTTAGTTACAGGCTTTCTTTTCTGATCCTATTGTACTAATGAGTTCTTATTTCTTAATCTGAAAGAAATCTGAATGGGAAGCAAACTAATATTTTCTTATCTCTTATTTTGTGTTAGGCAATGTAGCATATTATCTCATTTTATCCTGATATTAGGTAGTAGGTCATTATTTTATACATTAAGAAATAAAAATTCAGAAGATTAGCTGGCTTAGCGCTCAAGGTTGTCTGCCCAGCAGATGGAATATGAGTCTGCCAGGTCTGGATAACTACAAATCTTGTAATCTCCCTGGTCTACTATGTGGCCAGTGTATACCACGTCAGCCTTAGCTTCATACTTGGGAATTTAGGTCATGTCAACATGCATGGATGGTATTTGGTGGTTATGTCTACACAGGACTAGCAAACTGATATTTTGGATTGAGTCAGTCAGTTAATTCAGTAAAAACTATGACTTTGGCCTATATCTCAACACCAGATTTCTAATTGTTTCATAATCAATAAATCACTCTCTATATTTAAGCAGTGTAAAAAGAATTTCAAAATATGGCCTACATCCAATATCTCACTACCTATCTTATTCATTCTTTAGGCAACTGTGCATCAGACAGGCAAATGTTTGTTGCTACCAGATGAATATACACAGGTCCCCATGAAAAGGCTGTTGTGCTCTCAGAATTTGTAATATCAATGAACACTTGCAGCAATGATGTGAAATGAATGTTGCTATCTTGTTTGGCAGAGGTAGAAATCGAGACACCAAAAGAAAATAATCTTGCCAGGAGAACTGAACTTGGGATCGTTAGTGGTTCCCACATCCAGCCAGTGCATTTAATTTTTTAAACCAGATTTAAATGTTTTGTTTCTGCAGAATTTTTATTCATTTTACCTTTTATTTCTATTCTTAGTGCCACAATACCTCTTATATATACAATAATATTAAGTGGATTATCTTCAGTCAACTAATTGTTAACAAAATTCAAAATGTCAGGTTGTTAGTTGTACTTAACTAATGCTGTAATCTACCTGAAAATGTATTTTGCTTTGGCTCATTCTTAGGGAAATGAAGAGCTAGTTTCCATACTGTCTTACACTGGTAAAAGCAAAGATAATTATTTTTGTTTATTTGTATGAAATTATTCTCTAGGCTTTGAATTAATAGTGGGGAGAACCAAATCCCAGAAGAGTGAAGCAACTTTCCTGTGGGTGGTTCAGACTGTGTCTAACTGAGAACTTAGAGAATCCATCACTTTTGTTTGGATGAAATGAAGGACGATAAGCCAAGTTGCTGACCACATAGATCTGAGGATATATCCCAATGTTCTTAACCATGTGCTCTTTGGATAAGTCATGAGGAAACTTCAAACTGCCTGTCCTCAACACTCCCCACCAGAGGCACACATGGTATGGGCAGTTCTGAACAATAGAAATGGCCCCTAGATGAACAGTACAACTTTGAGATAATCAACTCTAGCTGATAATCCTGCTGTTGATGGAACTGGTTGTTAGGGTGGGCCCTTGGGTCTAACACATCAGAGACCTGGACACCTCAATGCAGAATTCCAAGGCCCTCCTGGGGACACCTGCTCAATTACAGAACTCACTACTTGTTGACGTTTGAATGTGAGTAATTCAGTGATTTTTCTTAAAAGAAACAAATGTTACCTTGGATGGAAGGGGAGGTTATTATGTTAAGTGAAATAAACCAAACATAGAAAGACAAATATTGTATGTTTTTATTCATATATGAGAACTAAAAAAGTTGATCTCATGTTGAGAATTTTTGCATTTATATTCATTAAGGATATTGGTCTGTAATTTTTTTTAGTGTTCTTTAGGGGCTCTCATATCAGGGTAAAATTGTCCTTATAAAATGAGATTGGGAATGTTTCCTTTAAAAATTGTTTTGAAAGCATTTGGAAGGAATGGGATTAATTCTGTAAATGTTTGGTAGAATTCAGTGTAAAAATCATTTGGTACTGGATTTTGTTGTTGTTGGGAGATTTTTGATTATTGACTTAACTCCTTACTCATTGTTGATCTATTTAGATATTCTGTTTCTTCATGATTCAGTCTTGGTAGGCAATGTGTTTCCAGAAATTTATCTATTTTTTTCTAGGTTAACCAGGTAATCTAGGTTGATGACATGTAATTGTTTATAGTAGTCTATTATAGTCCTTTATAGTTCTGTGGCATCTATTGGACTTTTTGCTCTTTCAATATAATTTTACTTATCTGAGTATTCTTTTTTTCTTATCTAATTGAAGTTTTGATATAGTTTGGATGTGCGGTCTTTCAAACTTCATGTTGAAATTTAATCCCCAATGTTGGAGGTAAGGCCTAGTGGAAGGCATTTGGATTATGAGGGCAGACCCCTACTGAATGACTTCCTGCCAGCCTAGCAGTAATGAGTGAGTTCTCATCTATTAGTTCCCGACAAAGTCTTGCACCTCTCCTCTCAATCACTATCTCTCTTGACGTATGATCTTTGCACACGGGATCCCTTCACCAGCCACCATGAGTGAATGCAGTCTGGAGCCCTCACCAGAAGCAGATGTTGGCACCTTGCTTCTTGTATAGCCTATGGAATCATTAACCAAATAAATTCCTTTTCTATATAAATTACTCAGCCTCAGGTATTCCTTTATAACAATATAAGTGGAA